TTTTTTTTTTTTTTTAAGAAACACACATGATCAGGTTTTAATTTATCTTTAAAACCTTTAAGTTGATTTATAAAGATTCGCTTATCGAGTTCACCATATAAAAAGATAATTTTTATATCAAATTGTTCAAGTTCCCGGTCAAAATGTGCAACTAATGTAAGCATGATCCTCATAGTAGTATACTTAACAACAGATGAAAAATTTCGTTATAATCAACACCTTCTTTCTGTGTGTATCCCTTGGCCACTAATCTAGCTTTAAATCTTAATGGTTCAGATTCACTAGCATTATCTGTAAGTTTAAAAACCCACATACAATCAACTGTAAATTTATTCTTAGATCTAGGTACTAGCTCCCAAGTTTGATTCTTTTCTAAAGAGCTCGTCTCATTTTTCATTGCATTAAACAATTCTTCTGATTGTTCACTTCTCATAGCCTTTTCAAAGGTCTTAGACTCTTTGTCAGCTAGATTTTCATAGCTAGCGTGAGGGAAAGCAAACTCAAACTCATATCCAAATATTCTAGGGGTTGTGGATACTGCTGTACGAACATCCGATGTTGGATATCTCACGCGCAGACTTGTTGAAGTAGTTCAACACATTGTTGTACGTCGGACAGATTGTGGTCTTAATTGTCTCCCCTCTCTATCCTTAATTAGATTATAATCTGCTAGAGGGTTTTCTTCCTCAAAATGCTCTTCTATCACTATTTTCTTTCTATTCTCCACCTCATTAGGGATGGTGGGTATAGATGTGCTATGTTTTATTAACTCCACATTCAACCGATCTCTCTCTTCACCTATCTCTTCTTCACTCACAGGTTCGGATTCAGTCTTAAGACGACATTTCAATCTCGTTAAACGTGACATCTCTGCTCACAATGATCTTAACCCCTTTTTAGGTTCTATCCCATAACCTATAATCCTTAACACCCTCTGGATAACCTAGAAAAACACATTTTTTAGCTTTAGATTTAAGTTTTCCCTCACTTTGATGGGAAAAAGTAACACAACCAAAAGTTTTAAGCAAATAGTAATCACTTAGTTTACCAGGCCATTTTTCATAAGGAGTATCACCGTTCAATGCAGTAGATGAAGTCAAATTAATTAAATAACGAGCAGGCATAACAAATTCACCCCAAAAAGACTTTGGGATATCAGAACTTAATATCATGCAACGCACTTTATCAAATATAGTTTTATTCATCATTTTAGCAACCCCTTTTTGCTGGGGAGTAAGGAACGGTTTTATGCCTTGTTATTCCGTTTTCTTGACATAAATTATCAAATTCAAGTTAAAAAACTCTAGGTCATTACCTGTTCTCAAATATTTGATCATCTTGCCAGTTTGGTTTTCTATTTGTCTTTTCCAATTATTAAAAATAGGAAAAGTATCATACTTATCTTTTAAAAGATAGACCCATACTTTACTCGTGTAATCATTGATAATAGACAAGAAATACATATTTCCACCTGAAGTGGGATTACTAGCAAGACCCCACAAATCTAAATGCACAAATTCGAGCATGCTTTAAGTTTTATGAACACTTATGAAGAAGAAAGATCTATGATATTTACCAAGCACACAGTGATCACAGAAAGACAAATCTGACACATAATCATTACCAAAAACACCCTTTTCGTTAAGGAGTTTAAGACCTGTAACACCTACATGTACAAGTATATTGTGCCATTTATGTCTGTGATCAGCATTGATAGGAGAGACAAGAGAATGTGGACCTATTATCACTTCTCTAGGAGAGACATAAGTACCATTTCTCTTGGAATTTTACAAGTGAAGTCAGCCTTTTTCAGTCTCCCTACTGAAATCAAGTTCCTAGACAGTTTAGGAATATGTCTAACATCTTTTAAATTATATACAAAGCTAGTGTCAAACTTTAATGTAATGTCACCAATCCCAACAACAGTATAAGCAAAATTGTCACACAGTACAACATGTCTATCATTGATTCATGCAAGTTTTCAAACCAATCCTTTTGTGATGTTACATGAAAAGATGCATCGGACTCGAGTATCAACTCATGCAAACGAGAATTGATAGTTAGATTCAATTTAGCAGGATAAGTAATAGGACTTGTAATAATATACACTTTACCCTTATCAACATTGGAAGCAGAAGAGAATACATTCACTTCATCTATCTCTTTTCCCTTCAACTTACCCTTTTCCTTATAGAAATCTTTTATAAAATATCTTGTATTTCTACAGTCATAGCATTTTCTTACCTTAGTTCTAAATTTTGAACTAGAACTATCATTGCCTTTCTTTTTACTTCCATATACTAACTCGTCACTACTATGGAAACCTTTATGATTGTTTTGTCTAAACTAAGTTATACCCCTTAGCATGTGAATCTAGTGCTTTTCTTATCATGTTTTTCAGTTTCAATCTCCATCTCCTTACTTTTGAGAGAGTTTATGATAATTTCAGGTGTCAAAGTGTCCCTATCATACTTGATCGCATTTTTAACTTCTTTATAAGTGCCAGGAATGGAATTAAGCAGAATTATAACCTTATAGGTTTCTGACACAATCTCTTCATGGTTAACGATATCTTGAACAAGTTTGTTAAACACGTCTAAATTATCATGATGATCCTTTTAAGTATCGATTTTAAAATGAAAAAAAGGTTCAAGTAAGTAAAGCTTGTTGGTAGTAGGTTTGAGCAAATACAAGTCCTCTAATTTTTTTCAAAGTTCTTTTGTAGTTTTCAGTTTACCCTCTTTTCTCAAAACAACATCAGACAAGTATAAAATAATTGAAATATAGGCAAGCTCATCAGCTTTCTCTTTTTGTTCATTTGAAAAATCAACGGGAAAATGACCTTCAATGGATTTTGAAACTTTTTGTTGGACTAAAATACCTCTCATCTTTTGTTGCCATATTGAAAAGTCCTCCTTTCCATTAAAGATTCCTAAATCAAAATTGTAAGTTGCCATTATTAAGAATCAATTCAAAAATGTACAAAATCACAATCAGGTCATACAAAGTAGTCCTAGGGTCACAAATAATATACGTCGTTCTAGATTCTCAGGGTTTTATGAGATTCGCGATCTTAGATCAATGAAATGTTTAAATGGGTAAAGTCTAGGTATTCTAACGAAATTAACTAGGCAACAATGAGAAATGTCAAATAAACTAATTTCAAACCACAGCAATCCCACACAAGGTATATCACGAAGATAATATATGAATTTTATCAAAGAGCAAAGTACTGCAATCACGTAAGAGCAGATAGTTCTTAATTTCTAACACAAGTAATGATTACCCCGCACAGTAATTCCAAATCATATTGTCACCCCACACAATAAAGCGCTAGTGCAGAAATTTAACTGTGATAAGCCAATTTACTATAGCAGACACATTTGAAGTCCATAATATCAAGAGATGCGAATTTGCTGCTTTAGGGCCACCACTATTCACCTTAAGGATTCAGCAAATAGATCGATGCAATTGGCCAACGAACACAGATTGACATCCAGGGGCAAAATTGTCCATTGTTTTCCCGCGTAACCTAAAACATAAAACAAACGATATCAATATGTTCAGGAGATCGAAATAAGAAAATTGCTTGAAGGAAGCTAGTCGGAATTCTCCGTCACTTGTCACTGCTCCGCTGGAGTGACGCGCCACCTAGAAAGGAGTGTCTCCACCCGCAAACCTCAAATATGGGCTTAGATTTTTCGACAAGTGAATGATTTGGTTGGAATCGAGAGTTACAAATTCGGCCCCTTTGAAGAACTTTGCAAATCAGCCTCCATTTTTGTTGATTTTTGGCCGAAGGACCACCACTAAGCTCTAATACCAGATGTTGTGCGGAAGATGAAGGCCACCAAGGCTTTACCGAACTCAATTTTTCCAATCAATTGACGCCACCAAGAAAACAACCCAAAACCTCCAAATAGTTCTCCACTTATGGTTGTTATAACTTCCCACCAAGAAGGTCACACGGGAAGCCAAGATCACATAGAAATTTAAGCACAAAGGTAGTGAGAATGGGTAAATCAAGAGTGGACAGAAAAATAAAGGAGAGGCAGTCATAAGTTCTTCCACGCAAAGAGGCAGAGGAAGAGACCCATTTAACCAAGTGGGCGTATAAAGTAAGTAATTTAGGGTAGAATAACGGCCCAAAGGCCTACCAAGTGGGGTATCGTTATTTAGTCGTCCAATAAAGTGGGACGAGCCAATTGTAGCTCTAATAAATTAGGCTGCTTCAAATGGCCCACACAAATTTGGAATCAAGGCATTCTATTGAGGTATCGATATAACGTTCAGTCATTTGATTAATGCCTACTGAAAAATAAATTGAGATAACATCACAGCACAGGGAGATCATTTGACAACAATTTGTCTAACTTTTATACTAAGAAGGAAGATTTGATGTTCATTGGATGCTTAACATGGCATCACCCTAACAATTCTTTGGTCAAGCTGGGTAGGTGTCAATCACAATTGCCCTAATGCTTGAGACTATTTTAGATGGTAAAAAGTAGTCGCATTATGATTATGTCATAGACCTAGAAAAGTAGGTTGAAAAGTTGATTGATCACATATGCTGCATGCTACCAAATTTGTCAAAAGTACAGAGCATCTTTGCAAGGAAGAGTTCTTGGTTGATGCAACGTTTATAGAAGATGCCTTATTAAGGAGGGTGTGGTTGCTTCAAAAACCCAGTGTACAGGTGGCACCTTACTTTAGAAGTGACACTTCAAATAAATTGCCATAACCTAGAACGAGGTGCATCAATCACCTCATCCGGTTATCTAATCGCTTCAAAAGGAACTTGGGAGAGAGGAGATGACATGGAGCATGTGCCTTGTGTAGCTTTTCGCTTTTCTTTTACTCAACTAGTTGCCACATGACTTGTCTCATAGAACGAGCCGTAACAGATACTATGATTTAATGCTACAAAGGTTGCAACCACCCGTGCTAAATAGCATTATTTTTTAATAGAAAAAATTCCAAATTATTGTGCGTGACCAAATGACCCCATTTTGTATGATTCTAATAAAAAAAATCCAATTTTTCTTTGGTAAAAGGAAAAGAATAGCTAGCTTAAAAAAATTCTCCGCAAATTTGTCATCACTTTAGGAGATTGTGTCAAACGGAAGTTAAAACATTCATGAATCATGATCTATGGAAACTTTTAAACAATAGGGTGCGAGTGTATCAATAGAAAATAACATGAGAGTATTAGTACAATTATCTAAAAACGGACGTAAGAATATCTTCAAGAAACTTTTTAAACATAAGACGCTCTCTCTTTTAAATAATTATGCTTCAAAAAACTCTTTAAATTAAATTTAGAGACCAAACTCATTCTCTATAATTTAATGCATTCAAAGTATTTCAAATTTTAATGTATAAAAATAATATAATAATTTAGAGAAAATGTTAGTGAAAATAAAAGATAATAAATATTTTTTGGGATAGGAAAAATAAAAATTAAATATAAAGATAGGGCTATCAATGGATCGGATATGCTCAAATTCGATTCGATCAGTTAAGAATAATTTTTCAATTCGATCCGATAATCCGACGGATATTTGAATGTTAAATCCAAATCTGATTAGCTATGTTATCGGATATACGATCCAATAATTCGATCAGAAATTGAAAAAAGTAAAAAAGTAAAAATTTTATTTATCTTTTTCATTAAAAATTGTAGCATCAACAAGATTTTAATTAATTATTTATTTTAAAAAATATTTGAATTATATTGATGGTCTCACTTGTTATATTAGAAGGTCCAAATCAATTTTTTTTTAAATCCAAATGATGCTTTTTTTTTTTTAACTCATTTTAAAAAGAGATTCATTTTGGAATGTTTTAGTGATATTTTAATGTGGGATACTAACTTTTTAAAGAATTCTCATTTTGCAATGATTTAGTTACTTTTTCAATATAAAATACTAATCATAATCATTTGTCAAATCTAAATATTTACTAGTTTACTTTATTATTTTCATTAAAAATCATAGTTTCAATAAGAGTTTAATTATAAATAATATCAATTTGAACAAAGTAAATTATTTTGGACTTATTAATTGTTAGTTTTTTTTGTTATAAAACAAATTGAAATAGTAAATCTAATCAATAAATTAATTATTAATTTTATCACATTTTAATTAATAAAAAAATTAAATCCCTACAAATTTTCAATTAAAAAGATTATTCTATTATATAATACTATTTATTATTTTAAAATTACATGCAAAGTATAATACAATTTTAAAAATGATAAAAAACAGTATCATAAATTATGTGGTGATATAAAAAATATAATATATTATTATAATAAATCGAATCGGATTGTTATTAGGATTAACCTATATTCATATTTGATTCATTTAGTTAATGAATTATTGGATTCGAGTTTCCATCGGTTTATTGGATTCAAATCCTAAATTCATCTCCTATTAATCGAATTCGGACCGAATTCTAATGGATTGATGCCTGCGTATTTGAAATTTTTTAATTTCTAGATGCTTTTTGTAGGAGAATTCCTAAATGTGTTTGACTTCAGAGCCTTCCAAGTAAATTTTCACGGAAGCACCAAGAAATTGTAACATTGTTTACATTCCAAACATGAACTCATACTTGTGGTATTTAAAGTTCTTGATTCTAGTTTCACTTCTCTTAATTCCTCTATCTTCATCTGCATCGCCTTTAAATCAAGAATCGCAAGCTATAGAATCTTTGCTAAATCGTTTGGATGCCAAGAAACCATCTTCATCAGTACAAGAATCTGCAGCCAAGGGTGTTCTTCACAGATTGCTTCCTTCCCATTTGTCCAGCTTTGAATTTAATATTATCACAAAGGTACTAATAATCATTTTCTTTGATTTTGCTTTCTGGGTTTTCTAATTTCTATATGTTTTGCTTAATTACTATAAATACTTCTTAGTTCTGAAAATGTTTGGTTGTCTATGAAGCTAAGTGTACAGAAATGTAATGTGGAATTTGTTTGCATGATCTATTTTTTCTTCCTGGGGCTTTAAGTTTTTGAATTTTCTGTAGAAGTTTCAGTTTTGTCTTTTGCTTTCATAAGAATTGTTTTGATACATCCTTACTTTAAGATTGATGCAGGGGACTAAGTTGTTTGAATTTGAATTTTTTCATGCCCAATATTATTATGGTTGTTTGTTTGCCAGTTATATGAATCAATTTTTCTTTGCTAAAAAATGTAAATGTGCAATTTATTATTATTGATTTTCCCCTTTTATTTAAATTTAATAGGATACGCATTGGGAACAATCTCCCAAACTAATACAACACTTACAACTGATAAAACAATCACAATTAGGAGCCCAACTTTTATGGCTAATGAAAAATCACATGTAGAAACTCTCTTGGTGCATGATTAGTATGTAATATGTCCGTGTATTGTTACTAAACTATCTACAATTTGATGAAGTGTGGTATGCTGTACGTTAATGGATCCATAATCCTTCCTGTCCGTGATATCATCCTTTTAATAGTTCTTTTATGGTCCGTGATTAACGATTGATCTCATAAATTAGGATGTATGCGGTGGAAGTAACTGCTTTCGAATAGGCAATTACAAGAGTTCAAGCAGAGATTCGGCTGAAATATTGTAAGTAGAATCTGATTATTGCAATCTTCTTCTGAAGGTCCTCTTTAAGTTCCTTTTTATTCACGTGCATCCTGTTTTGCTCTCTACATCCTTTTACCAAAATTGGGGATAAATTTTGTCATCTCTGCATATTTGGTTATATGGTTTGTGGATTTTTTAGGTAAATTCTATAATTGGATGATATTTGTAATTCTTTTTTTCTTTTTTTCTTTTGGGTATTGTTCGGAGATTCCTTTCTACTATATGTTTTCTTTTTGTTTCAATAAAATGATGTGTAGTTTACCTCCTCATTGAAATCTTATCAGCACTACCATCAAATTCCCCAACGACGCTTGACATCAT